GAAAGAGTAAAGGCAAGCGGTCTGGGGCCATGGAGTTTCGGCCCTCCACTCTCCACCATCCATTATCCACTCATCCATCCACCCACCCAACCACCTGTCTACCCATCCATCTGCCCACCTATCCATCTAACCACCACCCACCTGTCTACCCATCCATCTGCCCACCTATCCATCTAACCACCACCCATCTATCTACCCATCCATCTGCCCACCTATCCATCTAACCACCACCCATCTATCTACCCATCCACCCATCCATCCATTCACCTACCCATCTGCCTACCCAACCATCTATTCACCCACCCGTCCATCCACCCACCACCCATTATCTACCCATCTACCCAGCCACCCTCCCATCTGCCCACCTACCTATCCGTCCACCCACCCATCCATTTGCCCACCTATCCATCTACCTACCACCCGTCTATCTACACCTCTAGCCACCCATCCATCTACCTATCCACCCAATACTTATTAAGTGCCGTCTCTGGGCTCTTGCCCAGATGGCTGTGAAAGAGTGCTTGTATGATGCTGAGAGACTCATGGAGCCATCTTGCCACAACATGGGAGAGCCTGCTTGAGAATTAAGGCCACCTGGATCTAGCTATGCCTGGAGACAGATCCCACCTAAAGTTCATGGAGACAATTTCCCCCCCATTTCGCTCTCTCTTTGGCTTAAGCTAACTTGAGTTGGATGTTATTCTTCTGTAACCAAACAGTCTGAAAAAGACCAACACATTTAGAAGCCTCGAGAGTGGTAAGTAATGACATCCTCCCCCACTTCAAAATGTAAACGTGGTTTTATTTAATGCCTTTTACCCATCACAAAGTACCACTTCCTTCCCAGCGTCCCCCTCTTCCTAGAAATCAAGATGGCAGCATAAGGCACGTGCACTGTCCACATGACGTCAGGCAGGGTCTTCAACACAAAAATAAGCAAGAGTCTTCTCGAGAGCCCCGAACCGCCTCCCTCACTAGTGTTCAAAGAATGATTGTCCCCCTAAAGCACAACTTGGTGCTTCAATTGGAGCGCACCACCGCACGCCTGTTCAAAGAACCACACCAACGCCCAAGGACACCGACGGCAGGTACAAGAGCGTAATACCAGCGTAATGAGATCAGGCCATAAATTAAGAAGAGAAGAAGTGAACCTGTCCCCTGCTCATCGCCAGTCCTCCCGCTCAGCAATGCCTAGCTTTTGTTCTCTGAGTCTTGAAGAAAGTCTGGACTCTGAGCCAGCCCCTCCCCCCACAGTCAAGTGTCCTGAGGCTGATGCCGGGCACACTGCTTCTCAGGACCCCCTGGGACTGGGTGGATGGTTTCTGAGATGGTCTTTGGACACGTCCTCCTGGGTAGGGATGCCGCCTGGTGTCCAGTGCCTGGGTCTTTGGAGTTCTCGGCGGGGAGGTGGGGAAGGTGAGGAGGCGCCTGGTGGCCGTGATGGCGGGGGGACACAGCGACGCTGCTATAAATACTCCAGCTCCAGGGCGTGCCTCAGTGCCTCCAGGTCCGCGTGGCAGGATATCCGCCAGAAAGGCATGTTGTGCTGGAACACAGAACAGCAGCCGCACGCTGAGGGCCTGCCCCTGCTCCCCCAGTGTCCGCGGCCCGCCCATGCTGCAAGGGCCCCTGAGGGGTCAGCCGTATGAGTCTCAGACCTTTCCCACACTCTGAGACACAACCAAAGGGAAAGTTACATAGGTGGAACCAAAGTACGAGTTTATTTTGGTGCAAAAAAAAAATTATTTTTAACCTGTGCCTGTTTATTCATAATACGTATTTTCCATCAACTTTCCGGAGACCCCTGTGGTGGCTGCAGATCTGAACCTGGCCAGACCACTCCCGCGTGCTCGGAGCCTGCCCTGGGCTGGCCCTGACTGCCTGGGGGCTCACTGTTCCACTGGCTCCCCTCCTGTGGTACCAGCGTGGCTGGTCTTAGCCTGCACAGACAGGGTATTAAATTGTGCAACAAGACAGCTCTTCCTTGAAAATAACTGACCTTGAGGCCGCCACTGCAAGAACAAGGTCAGCTGGGAGCTAGTGTGTCAAATTCTCTCAAGCTTGACTTTTGTTACTGTAATATTAGTAATGACAGCACATTTTGGGCTATATTTCTGTTTTTGTTTGTTTGTTTAGAGAAATTTTTCCTATAGGGCATATGAGCTTGCTGGAGAAAGGGAACATGAGAAATCACCTGCTGGGGGGATGGCCACACTGCAATCCCTTCCTCTCCATTCTCTTCCTGGGATTTTGGGCACACGCATGCATGCGTGTCTGGCGTGTCTCAAGCCACAAGGTCCAGTACTCAAACTGCGGTTGGCCGTGTGGGAGTCCAATGCCTTCACCACCAGTCCACCTGCTGGCCCTGGGCTAGTGCGTCTTTAGCCACCTCTAATGTTGCTTGTCCCCATCTGAGCAGAGCTGGCCCCAGGGCGCCTGGGGAGCTGTCCAGCTGGAGTGTGGTGACATCAGTGCGCTTTCTGCCAGCGTTGGTTTTTACCGTCCTCTTGTTTATACTGGTGACACCTGCCCTGGGTTACTGTCATGATAGCGAGTTTTCTTTCTTTCTTTCTTTTTTTAATAAAGAATTATTTCTTTAGTTTTAACATTTATTATTATCCTTTTTTCAATTTGACCAGGGAGACACAGAGAGAGAGAGAGAGAGAGAGAGAGAGCAAGCCTCCAGTTCTGGGACTCGTGGGAGTGTCCAGTGCCTTAACCACCACACCACCTGCTGGTCTCCTTTAACTTGATATTTAAAAAAAAAAAAAAAAACACCCAACTTTTGCCCAG